GATTCCATCATATGTGTATTTGTAATATTGAAGACCGAATGCTCTGTATGTACATAACAAAATCCTCGATCTATGTGAAACAATTAATGGCCTAGACGAGCCTGATTTAAAATGCAATGATAATGGGTGTCTCTTCAAATTTTTTGTAATAACATAAGTGAGCTTTGCCATTGGAATGGAGAAAATAAAAAGCCAGCATAAAGTGGAAACAAGGAGAAAGGTTGGTGCTAAATTTTTTTTTTTTTTTTTTTTTGCAATTAAATCGATTATTAGAAATTCTGGATAACTAAACACAACTTCGGAGGAATTAACGTTTACACTACCTATAACCAAGAAGAACCAGAAATAAAAGACAAATCCAGCCGGTCCTATTTCGCTCAACCCGCAGAACAAATCATGGTTGTCTCTCTTCATTCTTCGGATATTTCCATAACTCGTTCGCCGTCCCAGTAGCGGGCGATCCTCATCAATGTGAAGATCATGATCACCAACATGTAATTCACCCTGCTCTTCATCTTCACCATCCCATTCATCCTCCATTCGCTCTACATATTTACCGAAAGGCCATAATATGTAATAACTCAGTTCTCGTAACACTCGGGAATATTGCCAACCTCCCGATGGTGTCAGAAGTAGAAAAATTGACAAGATGTACGAAATTAGCGCCAACCACCATCCAAATAAGATCGCCCAAACTATATTTCCTGGATACAAGTACAATTCTGATGATGGTATCGAATGCAACGCAGAATTGGCATCACGAATCACCGAACGAGATTTTTTGTACAAGGCAGGTTTCCATAGCGGAAGACCAAATGGATGTGTTATATTAATCGCCTATAACATAGCAACAATTGAATTTCAAAGTGGTTTAACGTTAAATGATACTTTACAATGTGCAGCAAAGTGAAATCCAAGCCTCTAACAAAATTCTCAGATGTTATAAATTGTATGAATCGTTTGATTATAATAATTTCTATAGATCTCTTTACATGAATCTGATGAAGAGTTCAGTACACTCACATCTTGCCTGTCTTTGAGTGTAAATTCACGATCGCTTCCGCTATACACTATGTCATCTTGATTTGCATCGTCCTCTTCACGACGAGACGAACGATGGCTCTCTCGCTCGTTTTCATCAATACTTTCACTAGGGGTAGCGCTTTGCCTGCGATTCCTATAGGATCGATTTCTCGTAACTCTTCTTCTGATCCTTCTCCTAGAATTATCGGTATCTTCGTCAGAATTTTCGGGTGTTTCATTCTCCGACACCACGAAGGAGGATTTGCGTCGCGTTAACTTTGGTGGTGGTGGAGAATTTCCTCGGGTGCTAACATTTGAGGAAGTTGGGTGGGATCGAGCATGCGAACTCGGTACATTAGAGACTGAAACCCTTGGAGCAGCAGTCGATTGCTGCCCTTCCTGGCCGGATCTTATGGACGGCACCGAAGCTCTATGATCTAACGGTTCCTCATTAGTATGATCGATTCCAATTGGTTGATTATCATGATGTTCTCGCGACATAATAAGTAATCTGATTTCGTAGGGAACGGTTGAAGGTTGGTCCTTAATATATGAAATCCGATAAGGGGCTGTACGACAGAGCTACTGCAGGTTTGTCGATCTTTTAAAAACAGTTTATATTACAGTATATCAAAGTTACAAAAGGAATAATTCATTCGTTTTCAACTATAATGCCGTTGTGTTTGCATTTTTGAGCTTGAAAAGAAGCGTCACGTTTACAAAAAATTTGGATCACCAAGATGTTTATTACAAAGTTCCTTTTTTTTAATAAATTTATACTGCAAACGTATCACGAATAAAGAAATATAAAAAGTTGCGTGAATAATCATTGATCCTTTGCTTTCTTGGAAGGTTTCTCGGCCTCATTTTCTGCTTTGCGTTTTAATCCAAATGTTACCTTTGCATGAAAATAAAGTTTTATGGTTCCGTCAAGACAACAATCAAAAGATGAATCATATCGAGAGATCAAATGTGTTATCATTTACCTTCTCTCGCTCGGGTGCATTCATGCTCTGACCAGTTAAACCCCCATTGACGGTGATAATACTGGTATTATTAACAGAAGTGGTTCCGGATGGTACTTTGGAAGAGCCCGAAGATTTGGAATCGTAGGTTGGTACCACGCTTGGGGGCACAACACTGAATATATGAATAAATGTGAATAGAATGGAGATAGACAGGCGACAAGACGATAAAAATGAAATCACGTACGCTCGATTACCAACGGATAACACCACATGTGCACTTCCGCTGGCCTTTTGTCTTTCTTGCAAAGCAGTTGACATGTTTAATGGAGTATCTATACTACTCATTGCTTTCAATTTACGCTCTTCTTCCAACTTTTTGAGACGTTTCTCTGTTTTGGATTTACCGGATGATTTTCCATGGAATTTATGAGACAATTGTCGAAATGCCTATAATGGTTGTCCAAAATCAGTAAATGTTCTAAGCACGAAATAACATTGTGAAATAATTCCAGACCTCTTTTGGCGTCAATTGATTGCCGAATTCGTCAACGTATTCCAGGTTAATGTCCGGCTTGTAATCTTTGAACCTTGCCTCCATTTCTCTCAAATGTTCACGATCACGATAACTAGTCTCGTTATCCCGACCACCTCCACCACGATAACCTTTTTCTTTAGCGCGTTGCTTTTCACGCTCTCTTTCGGTTTGTCTCTCAAGGTCTTTCCTGCGTTGTTCAGCAAGCCACTTTTGCCTGTCCTTCTGTATGCGCTCCTTTTCAAGCTGTTCTTCAGACGGCTTTATAGAAAATCCTATTTCAATAATGATGATGATAATGAGAATTCGGTAGGCTTCCAAATTAAGATTCAATCATGTAATCTCACCTTTTTGCTGTAAAAGGGCCAGTGTCGCTGCCATTCCACTGCTTACCAGTGGTTCTTCTTCTACCACACCGGTCTTAGAATTGAAGGGTGACATATGTCACGAAAAAGTATTATGTTTCGGGATTTCATGAAAATATCATGTTAACTCTTAAAGAATAATCATGGACAAAACTATACTTACAAGCTTCGGTTCCTCCTTGATATGTATTGTATCTTGATTTTCCATTGCACTTTCGACTTCCCAGCCACCTTTTTTGTCTTCATCAATAGCATCCTCCATTTTAACATCAACAGTATCCTCAAATTCTTCTTTTCGGTCAACGACCTTTGAAGCAGGTGTCAAACTATCGGTTTCGACGGATCTTGCTATTGATGGGGCCACGGATAATGACCGGACAAATTCCGATGTATCGGAGATCACCAATCCTTCTCCGGAAGGTTCTTCGTCTTCATCGGATGCATCTCTGACCTGCGACACTATCCACCATTTTGTCATAATCATTATACATCAACATGCAATCATGCAAATATTAATTAAGAAATAAAATACATACAAATCTTGGCTATTTCTTCAACTGAACTCTTGTTTACTTTTTTGGCGGCCATATTTCTTGCTCTGGCTAGAGCTTGCTGAAGATCGTCATCATCAACAAAACTCATTTCATCAAGATCCTCCACTTTCTTTCTCCTTTGATTAGAGGAGGTCAATGAAGATGTTGACTCTATCTCCATTGCATTAGGATTTTCGTTTCCTTCCGTGAAATCATCATTTACAGTCGTCTTTCTAACTTTCTTCTTTTTCTTACTCTAATGCGTATGAACTGATGGTTAATTACGTTAATAAAAAAAAAGTAAACTTTCTCGTCATTCTTTGATACTAAATAATAATAATAATAACAATTCACACCTTAGGCTTCTTGAATGCAACATCAGCTTCTTCTCTGGTATAATAATCTTGGATTTCCTTCATTTCTATATAGCCAAAAAAATCACACTATTAAGGACAACTACCAATGTGAGAATTTTACACATATTTCACATCTCCGGAATTTAATAAAGCAAAAAGATACTGTCAAACGTCAATGAAACGGCATTTTGCTTAAATTTATTGGACGCTTGGTCCCGATCGTCATCTTCGTTCAATCGAACAGTACCGTCGTTGCCCAATGTAAACCCCTATTAAAAAATTTTCTCATAGAAGTAAGGAACTCGACATAA